TGTGGATATTACAACCAACACAATGCATCCATATAATCGCATTTTAAGACACAATTCTTCATTTTAAGACTATTAAAAATGAGAGACAATGTGGGAGTCGATCAATATCGATTATGGTAACATTTGAGGAAAATATTAGTTTTACACTTGAGCATTGTACACTTATATGAGTATCTTGTATAGTGTTAACCTCAAATTTAAATGTCTGCAAAATAAGTTACAAGACAAGAAAATATAGGAACAAATAAATATATTTAATCAAAACGAAAATGGGTTACAAGCTTGTTCTTGAATTGAGAGTTTGATTCCACCGTTGATTTGTGGAAGTAGATATGAATATCTAGAAATCGATTTGGGGATTTCTAGGTCTTGTGGAAATGGTGCCTTGATGAAGATGTAGAACCTCCGCGGTTGTTGTTCTTCGTCGTGGCAAGAGCTCGAGACTTGAGAGCTTTTGAGTGCTTGATGTACGCCTTGCTTGATGCTTGTGTCCTCGTCTCCTCGTATATGTCTTTGTGTGTGTTTGATACCTCCTTTTATAGGCTCGATTTAGGGTTTCTTGACTTGAGACTTGGGCCGGTGGACTTGGATGCTTGCAAATTCATGTGGGCTAGCTTTTATAAGCCCAAATGACTAACCCGAATAAATAAGAATTTATTGCTTATTTTGGTTTAACTCACATAACACATTTGTGAAGCCCAAATATAGTGTGGACTTCAACATAAAACCCAAATTCATCACGGGCTTTGATTTGAGATCCAAATTAATAACCGATTTATTTGGATTATTAATTTGTAATTTAATCTAAAAATTTGATATAAGCCCAAATTTTTTATGGACCTTTTACCGAGATCCAAATTAATAACCAATTTATTTAGGCCATTAATTCGTAATTTAATCTCAATTTTGATGTCAACAAATGCCCCCACTTCGAGACTCAGCGAAGAATATGCCAAATATTTATGAGCGGAGACTTGAAGTACTTTTTTTTTTTTTGAACTGCATTCCATTTATGCCGTCATTGGAAAACAAAGATCGGACCGTGCCAGAGAATGAAAGCCACAGATTTCGCGCGGCCCATACCACATAAATTTGGGCCCGTACCCACATGTTACTTGGCCACAATATTAATGGGGTCTACCTGAACAAATAGGGAACTTATAGCAATCCTCAGAAACGAAGCAAATTTCCTTTTTTTTTTTTTTTTTTTCTCAAAAATTGTTATGGCGGGCGTCATCATCTATGGCCTTTGTAGACCAAATACGTGAGATGACTCCAAGGCCTTCTCAGAATTGCTTAACAGAACCCAATAAAGGAAATTTGCTTAACAGACCAATTTTTTTGTTTTTTTTTTCCTTTTTTTGCTAATCAAAATTAATGACTTGGGAGATTCCTTCTGAACGTGAATCCTCCTCGAACATAGCGATTCATATTAAGAAAACAAATCTTTGCCTTGTGAAATTTCCTTGGCAATCTTTATTGCTTTCTTGATCAACAATTCGAAAGAAAACTATAAAAGAGCTTTAGATGTAGTCTTTATTCTCCATCCACGCATTGCATAAGCAGTAGTAATCTCCTTTTTTTTTTGTAGTATTTTGCTTGATCAAACTGTAAGCTTTGTCCCATCTTAACACAAACAACAATCTTGTAGGGCAACGCACACAACGTGTTTGTGAATTTGACTGAATGAAGAAAAAAAATCCAAATTGCCGTTTATATCTGAATTTGCATTCAACTTTCTTCCAGTAGAATTGTATTATCATTTATTTTCCTGCTTCTTGCTTCTGATCATTTTTTTTTTTTTGACAATCTTTAGGGAACTCGCGGAGATGTATATCGAAGATCGAGATGAACCTTTCCCATGCATCGTTATTCGCAATGATAAGGACAACTTCAAAATCAAAGGTACAACCTTGCGCGTTTATGAAGCGGCTTCAAACTGCCCGTCTTCCCAGTCACGATCTATCGAAAAATCCATGCACATCCAACTAGACCTGCTCACGAGTTTTGTTGCTAAGGTCCTCGCTTCACGACGAAAAAACTAGACCTGTGGATTTTGTACTCCCACATCGTGCTTTCTCATTCAAGGGAAGTTCGTGGAAGATCCCACCATCCAACTTTGCAGAGGTGTCCTTTCACGTCAGCTATTGGGAGTGGACGGAAGATGTGCTAGGCCATTATGCGGACACCCTTCGCCAAGCCAAGATATATGCAGCCGTTCATGCCTCGCTATTCACGTACGTCTGCAACAAAAAGGTTCTTCGAGCTTTCCTTGAACTATGGTGCCCTTCTACGAACACGTTGCACACGGCTAATGGAGAATTATCGATCTCCCTATGGGACATACGCGGACTATGCGGGCTGCCCGTTCATGGAGACTTCTACGACGAAGTGGTTCCTTCAGCGAAAGAGCTCCTCAATAATGACTCCTGTGGAACTTCCTTACCTCGTAGTTGAAAATACTTATTCATGGCGTACCACAGACTTTGAAAGGATTCCCGTGGCGTACTACTCTCTGATTGGATTGACTTTTGGTTCAAAGGACCAACCAGATATAGCGAGTCTCCTTTAAGGTCATCAAGAAAGAGGACTTCTAAGTCAAAACTTTCTCGTAATCCTTGTGGAAAGGTCGACGCATCAAAGTTATCTCGCCCCAAGGAATACGACATACCGTTTGCAACGCTCAAAATCGAGAAAGATATTAGAGAAGAAACTTACTTGGCCGCGTTCATTGCATGTTGGCTTTGTAGTTTTGCTCTCCCTCATGGATCAATTGACAAGATACCCGCCTCTGTTTTCAAGGTTTCAAGTCGAATGGCTAGAGGAGAATATTCTTCGTCGGCAGTTCCTATACTAACAAGCATCTACCGCGGCTTAAGGGGAATATCTACATCGGAGAATTTAGGCGAGTCTCCTATTATCTTCCCCATTCACTATCTCTATGCATGGATAGAACACACTCTCGAGACTCACTTTCATTCCAAACTCGAGATAATCGGCGCTCATATGGTGAAATATGCGGGAGAGAACATGGCTAAACATTTTGATCTTGATGAGGCACGTGACTTGTTTCATAATATCAATATGTCAAAGCTCCGAGACTTGTGGTATTCCAAGCAAGAAACTTTAGTCACAGACGATGCCAAACTCTCCAGCAAATGCAAAGATATTCTCTTGGCTTTGCGATCCAGCTATTTGACATTTTGTTGTGAAGCAGAACACATCATTGAAGCGTACAATCCTCATAGATTCAGCCGCCAACATGGTTTTTGCCAAAGCATTCCGGGTGACTTAAAGAAAGAGATATTGACTTGTGAGTTGCACGAAGTCATCCGATTTTGGAAATCTTGCACTTTATTGGGCACATCCTCCAAGCTTATTATGCCAAGTGACACATCTTCCTTTCCTTTGGTGACAAAAGAATATACGGAATGGTGGGCAAAGAGCTGGAAAACTTCTTTAGGAGCAAACACTAAGTTATCACTCAAACTTGGTCACACTATTCAAAGAGCTCCAGCGAAAGACCCCAAAGAGCCTTATGTTTCTTCATCTATCGGAAAGGGAAACATCGCGCAAGCTGCGGAGACTTCTACTAGGAAGTGGCGTATTCCTATGGATAAAGTGGCCTCTAATCCCGCATTCGAAGTTGATCATGGTGAAGGGAATGAGATCATCTCCGCGCTTTTACCTTCGAACGACGAGTTTAGCAACCAATGTCCATCGAAAGAGACATCCAAGGTTTTTGACTTAGCCATTGCAAATTCCTCATTTTTTTGAGGGCGTGCCTAGTTCTTCATTGCCTTTAGACGGATCAGTAAAATAAATCACCCTATTTTTCTTTATTCATTTTTTTTATTATATCATTATTTTTTAATATTTTTTTTTAGCTTCCCGATTTCGAAGAGGGTGTCCGTCTTACTTCTCAGGTCAGTTTGGGGTCGGTAAACGAGGCCAACTTTTTGGGTTTACATGAAACGGGTGCCATCTCGCGTCCTCAAGACAAACGACAAAAAACAACTTCTCTTGCAGTGGAGAGGATTTTTACTGAACAACAATAAAAGACAGTTTTGCTCGTTCCCGCAATCGAGAAGGCATATGTTGAGGTCTTCGAGTTTTCTCCTCAGATCATCAAAAGTGAAGCCGAAAGAGTACTTTTGAATTTCTATTGGCAAAGGATTTCCCAAAAGATCATGAATACTTCATTTCAACAACTTTCCGAGGTAAAGCCAGCGATCGAGAAGGTGTTCAAAGACATGCAAGCTTACATGAAAGACATATCACCATTGGAGAAGCGCTTGAAGTCATATTTTGAAGATGTTTCGCAATACACAAAGGTCAAATCGGATTTCATGCAGAGAGAGACACAAGAGATGCACGAGAAGTCTCTTTTGCTTGCGCAAAGAGATCTTTCCGAGGCTGAACTGCAAGAGAGTGAGCTCGTCGAGACGGCGAACAACGTGAAGGCTGAAATTCTTGAAATCACCAAGCAACTAGAAGAGCTAAGGAACAAGAAAGAATCAGTAAGTTCATCCCTTGATAAGGTCGAAGAAGATTTGGCCAAGATGCAGCAGGTTGTGGCTATGAAAAGAGAGAATACTTCTCGTCTTGGGAATACACCATTCTTATCTAACCATGAGATGGAAGCTTTGGAGAAGATGGAAGCACTACTTGAAGAATCTCGACGGGAGCTAGAAGCTTTTGATTTGTTCGCTTAATTGCTACCTTTTTTTTTTTTTTTTTTTTTTTTTTTGCTCACGTCGCTTTACTATCCTTCGATGTAAAAGAACATTCCATCTTTTTTATGCAATATAATTTTCTCTTGCTTCTCATAAGGCCTTATTATCATCTTGGCATCCCTCTTTCATCATTATGTAGCAAATGATAACTTTGGATGATTACATCGTGCACACTTTGGGATCCGCCTGATTTTACATATTGGTTAACTTAAAAGAAAATTAACCAAACTTGCTTAGAATAAACGCAGTTACAACGAACATTTCTTTTTTTTTTTTTTTTGGTTTGACTGAACTTAGAATATGGGTCTAAGCTGCCTATGTACCCTCCTCAAAGGGATCAAGTCATAACGTAGTTCAAGCGAACAACTTAGAACAATTTTTGTTTTTTGTTTTGACTGAACTTAGAATATGGGTCTAAGCTATCTACGTACCCTCCTTAAAGGGATCAAGTCATAACGTAGTTCAAGTGAACAACTTAGAACAATTTTTTTTTTTTTGGTTTGACTGAACTTAGAATATGGGTCTAAGCTGCCTATGTACCCTCCTCAAAGGGATCAAGTCATAACGTAGTTCAAGCGAACAACTTAGAACAATTTTTTTTTTGTTTTGACTGAACTTAGAATATGGGTCTAAGCTGCCTACATACCCTCCTTAAAGGGATCAAGTCATAACGTAGTTCAACCGAACAACATAGAACAATTTTTTTTTGTTTTGGTTTGACTGAACTTAGAATATGGGTCTAAGCTGCCTACGTACCCTCCTCAAAGGGATCAAGTCATAACGTAGTTCAAGCGAACATGCAACATTAATTCACCATGTTCTTTTCCTCGAAGGTAGATGGTTCTTCAAGGGTAGTAACGCTTCAAGAATTTACCATTTATGGTGCCAATTCGTAATCCATCATTGTCCACCAACTTGTAAACGCCGCTTGCGTAAGCTTCCTTCACTACATAGGGGCCGTCCCATTCCGACGCGAATTTGTTCCCCATTCGCTGGGTGAGGGTAATTGGCCTTCTTACTGCCAGAACCAAATCTCCAACTTGAAATGATCGAGGGCGGACCTTTTTATTGAATGCTTTAGACATGCGGGCTTGATAGCACTCAAGTTGTTGCTGAGCTTCTAATCTCTTCTCATCTAGTGCCTCCAGCTCCTCAAGTATAAGACGAGCATTATCTTCGACGGTTAGTCCTTCTTGTATAGCAATACGAAGCGAAGGTATTTGACTTTCAAGTAGGAGGATAGCTTCTACCCCGTATACCAAGGAATACGGAGTGGCTGGAGTGGCAGTCCGATACGTCGTCCTATACGCCCATAAAGCTTCCCCGACCCTCTCGTGCCAATCTTTCTTTGACTTTGAGACCACTTTCTTCAAAAGATTGCACAAAGTTTTGTTGAACGCCTCTGCTAGACCATTCGCAGCCGCATTATACATTGAGGAGTTGTGTTGCTTAAACCCAAATTGCACACATAATTTATCCATCAACTTGTTGTAAAATGGTTTTCCATTATAGGTAATGATGTACCGAGGTATTCCATACCTAAAGATAAGATGGGAATGAATGAACTCGACCACCGTTTCATTCTTCACTTCCTTCAAAGGAACAACCTCCGCCCATTTGGAGAAGTAGTCTGTAGCTGCCAATATATAAGCGTGACCTCCGGACGACTTAGGAGAAATAGGTCCCACGAAGTCAAGACCCCACGAATCAAAGGGCCATGAGGCGACTGTAGGATGTAAGAGCTCCGGAGGTTGGTGTATGAAGTTCGCATGTAATTGACAAGCTTTACATCTTCTTGCATAGTCCAAGCAATTTTTGACCATCGTAGGCCAATAATAACCCATTCTTTTAATTTGGAAGTGTAGCTTCGGGCCGGACTGATGAGCACCACAAACTCCGGAATGTGCTTCCATCATTGCTTCAGCCGTCTCTTCACCGTAAAAACAACGCTGGTAATTGCCTTCAAAAGACCGACGATAAAGTGTATCCTTGTAAAGGATGAAATGATGCGCCTTTTTTCTTACTTCCGTCTTATGACGAACTTCGCCGGGTAATTCTCCATTTCTCAAGTAATTGATCAATGGTATTCTCCAATCTTGATCATCATTGATTGAAATTGATGTAGCGTTAGCGTCTTCATGACTAACTTCAACGAATGATGGTACAATCCAACGGTTACACACGGGAACACTTGTTGTCTCTCCTTCCGACAAAGCTAAAATGGTTGCTAGATTAGCTAGCGCATCGGCCATCCTATTATCTTTCCTCGGAATGTGATTTAACACGACCTTTTCAAACTTCGTTATCAAGTTCGAAGCATGTTGACAGAAAGGAATAAGGTCTTCTTTCCTAACCTCGTATACTTTCAAAAGTTGGTTGATAACCAATTTTGAGTCACCATAAACTTCAATCTCCGTAATATTCATTTCTAAAGCCATTTCAAGACCAATGATCAAAGCTTGATACTCGGCGACATTATTGGAGCAGAGCTCGCCCAGTACCACCGAGTATGTCAATTAAACTTGTTTCTCGGGTGACACAAAAACAACTCCTGCCCCCGATCCATCAGACCGGGCAGCCCCATCAAAGAACATTTCCTATGCCGGAAGAACTTCGGTAAAGAAAATGTCTTCATCAGGAAAGTCATCGGATAACTCCCACTCCGCCGGAATATGGTGGTCGGCTAGAAAATTAGCTAGTGCCTGCCCTTTAACAGATTTTTGAGGCACATACGTGATCTCGTATTGATTGAACATGATAGACTACTTTGCTAATCTTCTAGATAGCACTGGCTTTGACATCACAAACTTGACTGGATCGGCACGTGAAATCAGTCGTATGGAGTATGCTTCGAAGTAATGCCTCAATTTCTTAATCGCGTAGAATAGTGCCAAGCAAATTTTCTCCACCGGGGAGTATCTCAATTCATTCTCCGTTAGAGTTCTACTCAAGTAGTACAAGGCACACTCTTTGCCGCTTTCATTTTCTTGCGCCAAAAGAGCACCGACGGACCTTTCTTGAGCTGCTATGTATAATATGAGTGGCTTTTCGGGTATAGGAGCTCCTAAGACTGGCGGATTTAATAAGTACTTCTTTATGTTTTCAAAAGCATTTGGACATCATTCGTCTCATTCGAAAGGTGTGTCTTTCTTCATGAGATGATTGAATGGTTGACATCTCCCGGCGAGGTTTGATATAAACCTTCTTATGAATGCGAGATTTCCTTATAAACTTCTCAACCCTTTCAAATTTCTAGGTGCAGGCATCTTTTGAATGGCATCTATCTTAGATGGGTCAACCTCTATACAACGATGACAGACTATGAAGCCAAGAAACTTGCCGGAAGAGACGCCAAGAGCACACTTAAGAGGATTCATCTTTAAGTTGTATTTTCTCAAGCGTTCGAATACAATCCGAAGGTCCCTCAAATGGTCATCTCTCTTCTTTGTTTTGACAACAAGGTCATTGCCATAACACTCCACTCTTTTGTGCAGCATGTCGTCAAAGATGTTTTGCATGGCACGCTGGTAGGTGGCGCCCGCATTCTTTAGTCCAAACGGCATTACTTTGTAGCAGAAAATTCCCTTTGGCGTGCGAAATGCCGTGTATTCTTCATCTTCTGGAGCCATTCTAATTTGATTGTAGCCGGAAGAGCCATCGATAAAAGATAATGCTTCATGTCCGGTTTTCGCATCAACCATGAGCTCGATGATAGGTAAGGGAAAATCATCCTTAGGACAAGCCTTGTTCAAGTCCCGAAAATCAACACAAATGCGTATTTGACCATTCTTCTTCTTGACTGGCACAATGCTAGAGATCCAAGCTGGATACTTGACGTCCCTGATGAATCCAGCATCTATGAGCTTGTTGACTTCGGCTTCAATTCGAGGAATTAACTCGGAACGAAGTGCACGTTGCGATTGTTTTACAGGGCGCGCTCCATTTCTTATACCAAGGTGATGGATTGCAATTTTGGGATCGAGCTAGGGCATTTCTTTGTATGTCCATGCAAACACATCTTTGTATTCGCCTAATATCTCAAGATATTGTTCCTCCTCTTCAGGACTAAAAATTGCACTCACGAATATTGGGCGGGGGTCATCTAATGTGCCTAGGTTCAGTTCCTTTAACTCATCAACAGTAGATTGCCCTCCACCCTCCAGCTGCACAGGGGCCTCTTGTATTTCATCTTCCGAAACTTCCTCTTGATCATCAACAATACTTGCATAATGATTGCTGACGACAATTTCGACTTCATCTTCGCTTCGATTTCCGTTCTCTTTAGATGCATGATGGCTGGTAACACGTTGTTTAACCTTCACTGATCCATTCATGGCAATAACTAAGAGCGGTTGGTCCCTTTGGCGTGATCGAAGCATTTGACGAGCTTGAACTTCATCCGTTGATTCAAACACATCTATCTCATCCTCTCGCACTCTTTTTCCGGGTTGGTTCCTATTGTGATTTCCCAGTCGTGAGAACACTGAACGAGTGTTTGTAGAAAGTCTATCGTGAACACTCGAGACATTATTAGAAGGACCAAGCCTTTCAAACACCGAGGGTCGCGCAACATGAGTGTCAAGTCTTTCAAAGATAGAAGATTGGGCGGTAGGAGCCTCAATTCGATCAAAAGCAGAAAGGCGACCGCTGGTTTTCTTTTGATTTCCAACACCATTTATGGTGATATGATGGACGTTGGTGCACCCTTCTTTCCTTGACACGCGTATTCTAACTGGCTCGATGGGAGTGAATCCCAAACCGACTCTGGGTTGATTAACGCGAAAACCTTGTCTTCTTAATTTCCTTTGTGTTTCATTTAACCCATGAATCTTTTCGCCCGTCAACTCAGGTTTTAGTTCGCCTAGCCGAGATGGATTAGAGAAGTTGTAACCAGACTTAGCTAATAAATTATATAATTTTGGATCATACGCCTCCCTAGGCCATTGAGACTGGGGTACAACATCATGTGTCTGCTCATGCGCCAATGGACTTAAGTCGATAATAGGCATGATTAAATCTCCCCTAATAAGGTGGCAGTGGCTTGGCTCTTGCTCCCTCGGTCGTTCTTGTCCACCCTCCAATAATGTGGTGCATTCACTGAACAAAATTGGGCTTCCTCGGCGTGACCGGGGAGCACAACGAAACACTGGCAAACTCAACTTCCTCACAGCTCCGTCATTTTTGCTCATCAGAGCTTCAACTGAAGTGGCCACCTTCTCATCCTCTGTGCAACCAATCTTCGTCGGTACGAGTTCCAAATGACTTCCATTAATAGGCTGGCATATCGGCGTCTTTGAAATCACCGTTTCGCACTTCAGGTTTGACTCTAGATACAATTTGGCATCCGCAAAGTGTGATTCTGCCTCGATAAAGGATTTCGCATTAGCATCGACCTTCATCATTTCTCCATTCCCCAGGTATTTGAAGCATTGATGAATGGTAGATGGGACAATTCCATTTTCGTGAAGCCATGGCCTTCCTAATAACAAGTGATAAGAGGTTCTTGCATCAATCACATGGAATAGTGTACTTGCCGCTAGCTCTTCAATTGTGAGGTCTAAACGAACCATCCCAATAGCTCTTTGGCCTTCTTGGTTAAATCCTTGAATAGTAAGGCGACTGCGAGACAAATCTTCGGTAGCGATCACCAACTGTCTCATGGTGGATTTTGGTAGGATATTGACAGCTGACCCTCCATCTACGAGTATACGGTTAATTTTTTGCTCGTGTATGAATCCCGAAACAAAGAGCGGACGATTGTGAGGTTTAGATCCCAACAACAAGTCATCGTCCGTGAAAGTCATAGTAGCACAACAAGGAATATAATGTTGATTGTCGCTCTCGTCC